GGAGGGCCGAGAGGTTGGGTTCGACCGGCTTTTATTTGCCCACATATTATGATTTGACACAAATCGACATCAAATACATCTGTGATGTCATCAGAGAGTACTTCAGCGGTAAAAGTGATCACTTGTTTGCTCCGGCTGTTGAAAAAAGGGATGAATTAGTGTTAAAAAGCGGTACTTTTAGTGTCGAGGCATTGAGTCTAACGCGTGCCGGACTCGTGAAGCAAAAGTATAGTCGCGGACATCCCTTCATAGATGCCATTGATTTGAATTTTACGGCAAATAAATGTCTAATTAATGAAGAGTGGGATTTGTGTCAGCGATTCATTAAATCGGTCGACAAATGCGTTAAATGTACTCAAGATTTTGGTTTGGATCCGAAAGTTGTTGAAAACTTTTTCAAACCATACGTTCAATACTTCACAACTCAGTCTGGATTTGAGACACAATTGCAGAGGCCGTGGACTGCAGAGGACTTGACAGCACCTGAGTATTCATTGGCTAAACATGTGTCCACAACCACTGACTACGAAACGCAACAGTTGTTGGTTTGGCTCATAAAGCGATTCAAACCTAAATGTATGCTAGAGTTGGGCTCTTGGATGGGATTTAGCACTCTTTTGATGGCAATCTCTGCCAAAACATATGAGTCTTCACATTATAAGTAAGTTTACAAAAAACAAACATTAAATCCATATTTTTAAAATGTTTATTACAATCAGATCCAGGATTTATGCGTGCGATTCATACGTGTGGCAGAAATGGATGTCTAATTTTGTGATCACGAAGAATGTGATGGCAAACGGCGACTCATTTTTACCCCGATTTGAGTATAATGTGGAACCGATGCGTGAATTCATAGAACCTGTTGTTATGAATTTCGATTCAATACTTCCCCAAAAGGTATCCGAAATAAAACCGGATTTTGTTTTCATTGATTTCACTCAAGACGCCGAAGAATTGGAAGAAAAATGGATTCATTTGATCCCAAATCTTATCCCTGGAAAAACTGTTGTATTGTTTAACGGACTTTCCGTTACATCGATTCCGTTCTTCAGTCGATACAGTAATCAACTCAAAGCTGTGGCTAAACCGCACACAATAGCCAAAGCTTTTATATACAGTCCCGACGTTTCTATACAAAAACCTTTGAAAAATATTCAATTGAAACCAATGTTTAATTTTCAAACGCCTCCCGATTGGGGCCATCACTACAAGAATGCTTTCAACGCTTCCATCGATTTATTGAAACAAGAATTTCACGACAAGAACTCAAACATTCTGTTCATACCATCGGTTGAAGCAATTCTTTGTGATAATCCGGAAGTATTGAGAAATAATGAATGGATTGGTGTAATACATATGACACCAGGATATCCACAACTGTTTTACAGTGGTCTGAACTTTGCCAACACGTCATTTTCCATACGTTTCATATACTTCTTGACATTCCGAAACAAGTGTAATTGCTCACAAGTTTTTGTTATAAACCTAGTTTTGGACTTTGAGGATTACAAAATCCCGATTCAAACATTGGTTTATCCCTTCGTTGAGCCCCAAGTGATGAAAGACTCAATTGTTTTGGATTTATTGCGGGACAAGAAGTCAGTGGATCTGATTCTTATCGGAGGTTTTGCCAGAGATTTCAATCGCTTTTATTCTGCAAACGTTTCAAAACAATTCAAAAAAGTTATTTTAGTCAACGATTTGTCGACAGAATATCAGTTGAGTTGCGATTATCCGAAAGACATTGAAGTGAAGACACGATTGTCTGACGAAAAATACGAGCAACAGTTGTACCGTTCGGTGCCATTCCTGACCCTCCTATACAACGGCGCCGCAAATACACTGATTCTCGAGTGTATCGCAAGAAATATACCAATACTTGTGCCTAAACTCAGCTCTTGTACTGAATATATCGGTGAAGATTATCCTCTTCTATATTCTGCAGACGAAACCGATTTCACTAACCTTTTGACTGAAGACTGCATTCAATCGGCGATTAATTATTTGAAAAATATGAATAAATATCGTTTTAAAAGCGATTACTTCTTGGAATCGGTAAAGAATGGCATAGTTTTGCAATCAATGGCTTTCGACTTCTCGTCCAATACTTCGCAAATATCGGTGAAATCAATGCCAGACTTTTGTTCATATGATGTCTCGGTCTGTATTTGTTCCTTCAAACGGACCCATCATTTGCCACAAATACTCGACTCTCTATGGAATAGACAGACATTTAAAGGAAATGTTGAAATCATTGTCTGGAATAACAACTCTTCTCGTAGTCATACTGTGTCTGAAATATGCGACAAATATATTATTCAATCAAATGAACAAAAATCGCTTCAATTAATCAATTCGTCGAAAAACTATTTCTGTGAATCATTGTCTGGAATAACAACTCTTCTCGTAGTCATACTGTGTCTGAAATATGCGACAAATATATGATTCAATCAAATGAACAAAAATCGCTTCAATTAATCAATTCGTCGAAAAACTATTTCTGTGCCGTAAGACTAGCGATGCCTCAACTCATGCAAAGCCAACGCCTATTGATTTGCGACGACGACTGTATACCCGGTCCTGAGTTTATCGACTTCTTTGTCTCCAAACACAACACATATCCGGAAGACGTGCTCTGTTTGAGAGGACATCAGTTTTTGGAGCACAAACTCAATGAACAAAATCCGTCAAACTTTTGGATAGATTACGAGAATCTGAGATTTATTTCGGACGAAAGACCGGAACAGTTGTTGCACTTCATTCACGCAGACGTCTGTCTCATCACTAAACAGGCTCTTCAGGAGTGCTCTTCAATACCTGTTCCCGACTCCAGCTATGCATTGGTTGACGACTATTGGATGAGTTATGTCTTAAACCATAAATTCAATCGTAAGCTCAGAAAACTAACCACAAGTGGTGTTCCCGAAGGTTATATCATCAAAAGGACTGAAGACTCGGATGAGATTGGATTAGCTCTCTATACAAGACCTGAAGTCAAACAAACTAAAGTCAGATTATATATTTATCATATGCTTCAGGGATGGCCTCAATGGGAGAAAGATATCACTGAAAACAATATTAAATTGGATGAGAAAGCTATAAAAGTATTGACTGACAATAAGAAGCATTTTTGGGATCAATTGTTTGTTGGATTCAATATTTCATCAGAAATAAGTGCAGAAAGTGTTGAAGTTTTGGCTGAAATGGGAGTCAAATGTGTGAGAATAGGAGCCGTGGGTTTAGGCGATAAAGTCGACTATGAATTCAAAGCATTCCTCAACGATAGGGACGAAGAGATGAAACGATTGAAACAAACGATATCTCTGTTGAAATCGAAAGGTATTCGAGTTGTTCTCACTCTTAGGAATGGATTGTCTTCTCCAGAGGTTTGGGAATTCATTGCAAAGAATCTGAATTCAGAGGAATATGTGGTCGGATATGATCTCATTAATGAGCCCTTCACTCCATTGGAGAGTCAATACGAGTTTGAAGACAACGATCCGGGTATTTGAATATTGCATAAATATTTATTAAAAATAAAAAAATAAGAATTACTGTATTTATAAATGATAGGAATGTCTGAACTTATGGTGAATTATACGAAAATAATTCAATCAATTCGTTCGGTCGACAAAATGACACCAATTATAATAGAGTCGAGTTATTGGGCTAATGTCGACACTCTCTCCAACTTATCAATTGACAAACTCATAGAAATGGACGACAATATTATGCTTTCGTTTCATTTCTATGATCCGCAACTTCTCACACAACGACCCAAAAATCGAAACCGCTTTTCATTTCCCTCACAAATACCAGACTTTATTAATGCAAAGAATCCTAAAATGACTAAAATTGACGACAACTTTATTAACGATAAATTTTTATCTGCCATTCAATGGTCGCAAAAATTTAATGTCAAACTAGTTTTGGGTGAGTTTGGTATCAGTCGAGAGGTGTCGGGCGCTCATCAATACTTGGATTCAATTATGAAGTCATGCAAAACATATGCCATCTCTTCATTCATCTATAGCTTCAGAGATGAAGAATGGGATTCAATGGACTACGAGTTGGGAACTGATGTCTCGACCAGAACTGTCAAACAAGAAATGTCTCAAAATATATTAATGCAAACTATTATAAATGGCATTCGAGATACTGTTAAGTAAAGTTACATTGTTAACATTAACGATTGACAATATTTTATCTTAAATTGAATTACCTACGACATTGATATAATATTGTTTATTTATTTAAATTTAATATATTTATTACCAAAGTCACTATAATTTTTTTATATCAAAATTATATCTGGTGATAATCTTAAATAAAAGCATTAATATAAAATTATGACTTATAAATATAGACCGAAAAATAGTGCGTTTTTGATGCTTTTGCACTGAAAAATTATTTATAACTCATTATGACAAATATTAAAGCTGTGGTCAAAGCAATGAATCAAACATTACTCGTATATTTTTCATTAAGTTTTTCAGTGACTATCGCATCAAAAACGCACTATTTTTCGGTCTATACTTATAAATTATTCAAACATATTTGTACACAATATTTATGCGACAAAAAATAAATTAATTTTATTGACAACAAATTGAAATAACAATACTGTTTTATAGTATATTTTAAATATAATGTGTAAGTGTTATAATGTTTTTAACAATAGTAGAGACCATTAGGACATTAATAACTAAACGTTTATTTTAATCTATAATTTAATGATAGATAGGTTGACCAAGGTAAATGCGTTTAAGCGGCACAACAGGCGCACATACCACTGACTTGACAGCACTGGGGGTTACCGTCATCACAACAGTAGATGGACTCGCAGGGGTACCCACATGTCCAACAGTCGTTGGATTTTAAGGCAAAGTTTGTTACGTTAACGCCTATTAATTTAATAACAAAATAAAGTTTACATTAATTAGTAATTAGTTTTAATTAATGGCAATTAAATGTTAGCAAATGTGTACTGACCCGGCTTTACGCTATCAAACTTAAGGTTGTGAATGTCTTTGAGAGCGGTTTTCTGATACTTCTCGTTGTTTGCGGTCACACCTGATAGATATGTTCATTGAATGTTAGTTTTATTTTATGACATTTTAATGTTTTAAGTTTGAAATTAATGTAAAGTATGGGATAATACATACCGACGGCGACCACAACGATGACAGCGAAGGCGACAATCATTGAACGCATTTTAAAAAGTTTTAAAAGTGTTTAAAGTTTTAATTGTAAACTTAGGAGTTGTTTAACAATACTGTTTTAACAAGTGTTTATTCAATCTCTTATATACTGTTAAATAGTGTGTTATCAAAAAACGTAATAAAATTATCATTATGATTTTATAACTTCCACTTAAACTTAAAATTATTACAATTTTCTGAAGCGTTTATTATTACATGCGAATTGTTTAGCGCTTATCACATATTATTCAATATTTCAATTTTTATTACAATGTATGAAATATAGGGATTATTTAAGTGTATTATCTAATATACATCTGTATTTATAAGTAGTTTTCGCGTGAATTCAAAATTGTTAATCATATGAGAGATATTAGACAATAGTTTTGCAATATTTAGTCTTTATTAAAGGGTTTCAATTCCAGTGAACTTATTATAAAATTTATAAACAAGTGTTTAAAGTAAAATAAAAATTTATACATAAAGAGCATGTTTGAATATCGAATGTCCTATTATAATGTTAATTATTAATAAATTTACTATGATGCTTAATCAACTTTATCTTATTGTAAAATATACACGGCTCCGGAATTTACTTCTGATTATTTACCAAGATTATACATTAAATTTCACTTTAATTAATTGAACGTTAAAAAATATTATGTATAATTTCTTCAATTATTTTTGATAATTTATGTTCTTGATTGAAATAGAAGTATAAATTTAGATTTAAAATACTGATTGTGTAAAAATTTACATTTTACTTTTTAATAAAATTATACTTATTATTTGCCTGTCTTGCTGAAATATGTATAGATTGGCATTGATTTACATTGAAAATCATTAAAATATTTGTAAAATTGGATTGGTAAAATTATACAAAATTGTATGAAAAATTTTGTTTCAAAACACATGATATTGTCCAATAAAAACCATTTTGAGTAGCATTTAAGTTAATGAAAACTTTGTTAAAATGTTGAACAACTTTATAAATAGTGTTTGAGAAATGATGACTTACAGCAACCATTTTACTTATTCAAACAAATTACTAATATTAAAATTAATAATTTTGCTTAATTTAAATTTTGGTTAAGTATTGGAATTGTAGACAATACCTATCAATTTATATATAATACTGTATATAAATAATTTTAAAAAAGTAATATTTATAAATAATGTTAAAGTTTAATTAAATGCTTTATATTTATTTTAACATCAATGACTTTTACAAAATTAGTATTTATTAAAAAAAAATTAATTTACAAATTCATAAATTTAATATTCAGTGAAATAAAAGGTTAATGTGAACAACAGGCACAATAACCGCCCACAACACAGCACTGGGGGTACCCGTCATCACAACAGTAGATCATAGAGCAGGGACTCGAACACACCCAACAGTCGTTACCATTCGCGCCATAACTGCTCACATTTAAGCCTAAATTATAATTAAATATAACTTTATTTGTTTTTAATGTATAAAGTATAAAACTTTAACGTATAATATAATACAAACCCTGTTTAAAATCTTTATCAAACGCTGCTTTAAAATCTTGAGTAACTTTAGGAATAGTTTTTGAAAAATGTTGATTTACATTCGCCATTTCACCTAGATTTATTATAAACACCATGATACAAATAATTAGTTTCTTATGTTTTATTTAATTTTTTCAATTCATACCAATAGTGAAGACAACGAAAATTAGAGTCAAAACAGCAATCATTGAACGCATGTTTGGAGAGAATTAAAAGTTTAATATTCTTTAACTCAAAAGTTATATTAATGACAAATATTTTGCTTTTATGTTAACTCAAAATTTTGAGTCTTTTATATATACCAAAACTATTGCAATTGTTTATGAATTTTATTTGTTTTTAAATATTTACAAATTCGTTGGAAAATTGTATACACAGTAAACAGTATTAATCCGAGTATTGATTAAAGTATTGATAAATTAATTGGTAATCATTTCATTGTTAGTCCTTATCATACATTTTATATGTGTTTCTTATGTGTGAATCAAATAATGTAATTGTTATTCAAATATTTGTTTTTTAAATAATAAAATGTCACATGTTTTATATCATTAATTATTTGTTTCGTTTTCTTATGAAATCAATAATATATAATTGTATTATATTATAATACACGCGAATAAAACGATTTATCAGTATTTAGAAAAATATTTGTTATATCTTAACAATTATGTAATATTTATCACAATTTTATACGTTTATTGATATAATTTATTGTTATTTTGAATAATAATATTAAATATTTAAATCAATTCTTATAAAAATGTATTCTTTTGAATACAAATTAATATCTAAAATAATTGGCTATTGCATACTTCAATGTGTAAGAAAAAGTGCGAATGGCTACAGATATCGGAAGTATACATAAATTAATTTTTGTGACAGATAATTTAGAACAAAAGTTACTTAAACACAATGGTAAATTGTTTATTATTATAATTCTAGCTTAATTATGTTAAACATAATTGAAAACTAAAATGAAAAAGATAAAAATGCCAAAAAAAAAGTTTGCTCGACTAGATATTGGTCAGTGGTGTCCCTCCCGCGTACTAACCCGACTCGACGTGATGTGGCCGCAGACATCAACCCATACAAAGTACTGCTGTGCATTACTATGTTATAACTGTACGCATGCGTACAATAGCTATAATAGCAATGCATAGCAGAACAGGTGTATGCATTGATGTCTACGGCCATATCACTTGGAAAGCACCGGTTCTCGTTCGATCACCGAAGTTAAGCAGCGTCGAGAGGGTTAGTACTTGGGAGGGAGACCACCGCAGGCATACCCGGTGTCGTAGACTTT